GCTGCTGCTGCTGCTGCTGCTGCAGTGGGAGGGGGGCCCTTGGTGGTTTGCCTCTGCTTGCTGCTGCCGCTGCTGCTGCTGTTGCTGCTACTGCAGCAGCTGCTGCTGCAGCTCCAGCTGAAACAGCAGCTTCGAAATCAACAAAACTGAAACTTCAAATGCTGCCTAACTTTACTTTTTTTATTTTGTTTTTTAGCTCCAGGGGCCCCTTGGGGGCCCCTCGGCCTCGGGGCCTCTAAGGGGCCCCACGGCACCGCGAGAGCGCAGCTGCTGCAGTTTAGCATCTTTTAAGCTCTTAAAGCATTTATTTTTCAGTAATTAATTAATTAATTTATAAAAATAAATGGAAAAAGGGGAAAAGGGGGCTTTTAGGCCACCAGGGGGGCCCCCAGCAGCAGCAGCAGCTCTTCGCGCAGCGCTGCAGCAGCAACAAACTCCCTAGGGGGCCCCCCGGGGGCCCCCAGCAGCAATTTTTAATTATTTTTTCTGCATTTAAATCTAAAATTATGCAAATTAAAGCTGGTAGAAAGGCGTTGTGTCTTTCAGAGGATAACACCTAGCCACCCTCCAGCAGCAGCAGCAGCTAGCTGTTGCCTGTAAGGAAGCAAACTGCAAAAAGGAAGCGAAACAGCAGCAAACGCGCAGCAGCAGCAGCAGCAGAGGCGCAGCAGCTGCTGCCTGAGCCTTGCTGCTGCTCAGGGGCCCCCAGGGCCCCCTCAAATGCTCGCCGAGAGCCCCTAGGGGCCCCCAAGGGGCCCCAAGGGGCCCCCAAGGGGCCCCAAGGGGCCCCCAAGAAACTCGTAGGGGCCCTCTTGGGGGCCCCTGTGACCCTCCGCAGCGCTGCTGCCTCTACATCGCTGCATGCTGGTCTTTTGCTGCTGCTGCTGCAGCAGCAGCAGCAGAAGACGCAGCAGCATAGTGGCTCTCTAGGGTTTCCCAGAGGGGCCTCTACAAGGGCCTGTTAAGGGCCCCCAAAGGATTCTATTCAAACCCTCTTTTGGGGTCCAGGCGCGCGGCTAGGGGGCCCCCTAGGGGCCCCCGTGGGGCCCCACTGGGGGCCCCCCATGGGGCCCACCTTGGGGGCCCCTCGGGGGCCCTCTTGGGGGCCCCCTTGGGGGCCCCCTTTGGGACCTCTCTGGGGAGGAAGCAAATATTAAGATATAGTTTAGTTGGTTCTTTAAAGGTGCATGCACATGCAAAGATTTCTTAGTTTAAATTATATTTATATCTACAAAATATTAAAAAGTGAATTTGCCCTGTGCGTGCAAAATGGGGGCATTCAGGTGTACGTACACCTGAACAGAGCCAGCAGCTAAATGTGCAATTAGACATTTAAAAAAAAGAAATAAATTAAAAATATTTAATTCTTTTTGTTCACTTGAAAAATGGACTTTTTAGTAAGTTATGTACAGTTGCTTGCACAAAACAAAGAACGAAAAGAGTTTATAAATAAATAAATAATAAACAAATAAGTAAATAAATAAATTAAAATGTAAAAAACAAACAAAGAAATAAATAAATAAATAAATAAAATAAGTAAATAAGTAATGAACAAATGGCGCTGTCGTTACACCTGTTTGTACCAACAAAAAAGGAAATATAAAAACTTGAATTAAAAAAGAGTTCTCAAATTTAAATAAAAAATTAGAAAATTGAAATAGCTTAATTAAAGTAACTGATGAATTTATTTAACATATTTAAT